ACCTTTGTTCACCCCCCGGAGCCGTGTGAGGCACTTTTTATTATGGATGGATGCGATTTATTTCACTTCTTTTGGACTGATGAACTGCAACACACACTGACTGCTATTAAACATCTTGAAAGATCAAAGACAATTTTTAATATAACTCTGATTGGATTAATCTGAAAGAAGGAAGTCATATACGCCTAGGATGGCTTTTTGAGTAAATAATGGGCTAATTTTCATTTTTGGGTGAACTATCCCTTTAAAGGGGTCATATGATGCGATTAAAATTTATTTTTCAGACCGATGAGCTTTGTAAAAATCGACACATTTCAGAAAGCCGGGGCATAGAGGAGAAACAATAATGTACAGTATGTGGAAAATAATGTGTTTTTTGAACCTTAAACCGCATAAACACATTTCATTACACCAAATACACAAAATAATGTTATTTTAGCAACATCATATGACCCCTTTAATATCCTTTTATTCACAAAAAAGATACCAAAACAACCTAAGGGTTCAGATATCTTCAGCCAGACATTGTATGTGTGGAGCAGGCAGAGGGAAATCTTTAATTGAGGGTTCTGTTGTATTTTTAGAACAGCTTGGATGTAAACTAGAGGAAGCGCTCACTCTGTACAACTCACAGAGAGGAAAACCTTTCATTTTCTGTTACACGAGGGCTGTTTGTGAGTGTGTGTGCTGGATGGTTTAAATCAAGCATTTTGAACTTAATTCTGTAGTCATTTTTAATTCCTTTTTTGAATTTCTGATTTTTGACTATGCCACTAAATGTTTGTCTTTACCAGTTATGGGGGGAAAGTGCTACTAAACTAATGTGAAAACTACAAAAAATAAAATAAAATAAAATCGTAAAAACAACAACAAAACTTTTTTTTAGATTTATCTGACAGAACGAAATAAAATTGCTTTAATGTCAACATATAACATAGTGCTATACAAATAATGTAATTTAATACATCAACTTTGATAGCCCTAAAAATACCCAAATTAAAATAAAGACCAAAATCTAAATGAAAGAGCACTGACAAAAAATACAAATAATTTAACTAATTTAAAAATTCAAACTCCAAATCACACTGGTATAGTATGTGTCAGGCTGTATAATGTTTATTTTCTCCACTCTAGGTCTAATGAACTCCCAGCATGCACTACTTTCTTTTTCTATCCTCGATTTGTCCATCTCTATCATCATGTGGGGTTCTCGTGAAGATGCAGTCCTGAGGCTGTTGTGCATTCGGCTGGATGCAAGCATTCACTCACACACACACACACACACACACACACACACAGAGACGCTTTATATGTCAGAGAGAGGGCAGCTCAGACCATAGGCAACGGAAGAAAAAAAGCATCTCACATTCAAGTGAACGTTATTTACTGACTGATGGCGTGGGATGGTGGGATATTCACTGCTGAAGACACAAAGCTACACTGTTGCCTGCGAACAACACATGCGCACACCCATACAAATGATGGAAAACACAGCAAGACAATTCACAACATGAATTATGCACAAACAACCTCCAAACAGCAGAGGCATACAGATGTCTTTTGTTCGGGTCTGTATCATGTAAACCTTTGACGTAGCTGAGTTTAACAGGAATAAAGCATATCATTAAATCCAGTAACACACCAACATTCTTGGTTGACATGAAAAATGCTCATTTTAAATCTGCTTTTCTTTGGAATAATCTATTCTGTTAGTTAGTGTCGTTAACTTGTGCAATGTTGATCAGTGTAAAACTGACTTACTTAACTTACTATTTCAAACAGATGTCTTGCTTTTTTGACAAGCTAGTTTGATTAACAGAATTCAAGGACCTCTCAAACTTATTTTGATGTAAATTTATTACATGTGATGTTGTGTTAGCCACTGCCTACTGTTTGAGTTGCAATCTGTTTATAATCTATTCTGTTAGTTAGTGTCGTTAACTTGTGCAATGTTGGTCAGTGTAAAACTGACTTAACTTACTATTTCAAACAGATGTCTTGCTTTTTTGACAAGCTATTTTGATTAACAGAATTCAAGGACCTCTCAAACTTATTTTTATGTCAATTTATTACATGTGATGTTGTGTTAGCCACTGCCTACTGTTTGAGTTGCAATCTGTTTGAGAAAGGGAAATTAGCATTATTAATTCATAAGAGAGTGGACAAACCAACAAGATTTTTTTTTGTATATTGTGTATTTAAAAAAAAAAAAAAATTGTATATTGTTTTTTCCTATTTACTTATTCTTTATTTTTTTTATTATCTGTGTTTTGTCTTGTCACTGTCATTCTGTTTGTGCTGTGGAAGCCTGTGTCACCATAACAAATTCCTGCTATATGTAAACATACCTGGCTATAAAGCTCTTTCTGATTCTGATTCTAAAAAAACACTCAGGCCTGAGAGGCAGAATTGCGAGATATAAACTCACAACTGCAAGAAAAAAAAATTGGTTTATATCCTACAATTCTGACTTTATAACTAGCAATTATGAGTGCATATCTCAAAATTCTGAGAAAAAAGTCAGACTTGCAAAATGCAAACAATCAGAATTGTGAGATAAAAAAGAAAATCGCACTTACCTTTTTTTTTTTTTTACTGTCTATTCAGTGGCGGAAACTGCTTCCATAGTAAAGAATGTAAAAGGTTTCTTTTTAC